TGAGAAATATCAAGCGAAACCAGCTATATCAAACGAGTTATCCAATATTATGTTTACATGTGAACACAACCGTGTATTTAGACGTGATCGAGAACCCAGTAGATTACCAGAAGCTACTCTGAAACGTCTCAGAAGAAAGGGCAGAAAACTGAAGGAATTTGTTTAAGAGCGTAATCGTCCAAGCATACCGAAGTCCTCTTGGCTACGTCGTTATGTGAAGGTTAGAAGAGTTACAAAGAATGATTGTAAGCTTAATACGAAGAGGGTAAGATTGAATAAAGTTACAAAACATGATAAGAAGTATTTCTTGAATTGTTCTGTAAGGGTATATCAAAGGATAATTAAACTGAAGTATAGAGCAAGTAGGTACTTAACAATGTTTTCTTGTAATTATAGACCCATGTGTCTTTATAAGAGTCAGACACACGCATCAAACTATTGTAAATTTCAACTGAGTTCAGATATAGAGAAAAACCCTGGTCCTACTCCAATGTACATTGACCCTAGCAAAACAATAATGACACCATATAGCCAAGCTAATGAATTGGTATTTGAACAGAATTCAGGACAACAATGTGTTACAATGAGTTTATGCTCTTTGATTTACAATAACAAACAAGGAATCAATTCTGCTAATGATCTCGTGTCAACAATGAATATTGGAAATCAGTTTTATTAAAGTTTGTCTCAGTTAACCAATCATTTTTAATGCAGACAGAATTACCCACACTTTTAAATGTGTTTGAGACTGACTATAAACTTCAATACAGCAAGAGCTACACTGGTACTATTCATCAAGAAGCTACAATAGAAGGATATCAGTACTGTACCTCCTTAGATAGAGTCTTTCAATCACTTATATCCAAAAATTTCAACAATTTTTTATTGACAATAGGATGTACTGCAGTTGCTATCTATTGTAAAGGTAATGTGGGCTTGAATATATTCGATTCTCATACAAGGGATATTTATGGTAGAAGCCATCCTCAAGGTACATGTGTGCTGCTTGAAGTATCATCGCTGAATCACTTATTATATTATTTTCAGAGTATAAATAACAATGATATATTTGAATTGAAAGGGGTTAACATTAATAAAGTTCAAAATAATACCCTTTTTCAGAGTCATGCCTGTGAAACCAGAAAGTTCAATGTGAGTTGTGCTGTGGCTGTTTATTCACTCTGCTACTCTGCAATAAAATCATGTAGTTATTGGAATTCAAACACCTTATCTGGTGTTATTCAGTATGGCAAAAGATTATACAAAAATTCATCTTTGAACAAGTATTTACTGTTAGATGATATGCCAAAAACTGTTGATGTTTGTGGAACTGAAGTAAGTTTAGATCCTTAAAGTGATTACAGTGAAGGAATATTGTATGATTCAATTGACAGCAAATCACTTCTTGAAAATCTTGTAAGAAATAATAGTGAATGCACAGGGTTTTTGATGTGGTTTTCAGTTTTCTATATGACATGTATTTTTAAACCCACAAAAAGGTCAAAATATGTCTATTCCCTCTTACTATTTAATGAAAGTCAAGTAACAAATTGCTACCACTATCCATCCAGTAGGTACCCTGGCCCAATAGAGACCCTCAGCAGGGAGATATTTTCCTTGCCTAAACTTGATTTACATATTGTGCATGTAAACGATACATTGTCTTTCGTTATTTCAGTCTGTATTTAGCACACTACATACAATATTACTGCATACCACGAATTCTGCTGCGATTTTAATGATCTCCATCATAGTAAAGAATGGTGAAGAATTGATTTCTAAAGTTTTATCAAGGGCACCAAGATGGACTTGGCAGATGTTTATTCAGAAGGATAAGACAAAATTAATTAAATTTTTGAAAATCTCCCCAAAAATTGCTAATTTAAATGCACCCTAAGTAAGCCCAAGTTCATGCAGTTATGCGTCTAGTTGAAATAATATCCTAAGACAACACACTATCTTTGCAGCTGCAAAAAATTAAACAAAACAAACAAACCCATTCACATAGCTAAGTTTTTTAACCTTTTACAGCCTATTTCATGTTTCGATTTCAGCGCAGACAAAACTTCCCACATTCTAAAACGCGCTAAGCGCTCTTAGACCTATCTCCATCTTACAAAATCGTCGCTAAGTATCCAAAACGTTTGAAAGGCTGTTATTGTCTGCAGCGCGTGGATAATTCATCTTGTTTCAAGAAAAACGAGGAATGGGAAATGGAAACACAATCTAGGTTATTCATTAACCTACACAATCTTTTTGTGGTATGTACAGTATTTTCGAGAAAATTCTTCACAATTTTTCAGGGAAAATGCATTGTTAATGACCAATAAACAAACACTCAAAGAGTGAGGAAGGCCTTAAAGGATAAAGGGGTTTTGGAAGGAACACTTGAAGTTCCACATTTCTTTAACAGCCTAGCTGGTATTCAAATTAAAGCCACAGATTATGCTCAACAATGCTTTCCTTGTAAATCCACAGAAAAAGGTTACATTTGTGACATTTCTTTGTTCTCTATTCGGTAATTTAAGTTGAAATGCAGCACTTTTATGGTGTTTCAAATTCAAGTATGTCATGTTGAATCATATGTTAACCCCACTTTAATCCCTAAGAGTAAGGTTCAAAGTTCTAATTTCTCCCAAAGTAAAGGGTTTAATTAAAGAGAATAAAAGAAATGATTGCCAACTGACAAAGCTCTTGATGATGTTACAGATTCTCCCTGTTAGATCCTAGGAAATGTATAGAGAATATGCATAGTGATATTGGGTGTAAAGGATTAAGTTTTATTTGGCTCACTGCACTTTCACAAAGAAAACATGTATATATCAATTTTTCTTAACATACATTAAAAGAAACCAGTGGTGGTTTTAGAAGATAATTCTAATAATACACATCTTAAAAATCTCCTTCGGAACTGAAAAGGTGTTTTTCTGTTACATATGCAACATCACTTTTGTCAATACAAAGAAGAAAGCATTGTTATCTAACCAGAAAATTACCTACTCTATTACTTTCTACAATGCCAGAATTATGGGGAAAAAAAAACAGAGTTTGTTGGCACAAATAGAAAAAGAGCCCTCTTAACTTTCAAATAGTTCAGAAGTAACAACCCTCGTCAAACTTTCAAATTTAGTACCTTTTTCCTGTCACATATTTCAGGGTTAACCATTTGTACCCTAATATCAATATGCATATTCTCCATGCTGTTCTCTATACACATCCTAAGGTGCTGACAAGGAGAATTGTATGGTAATCAAGAGTGTCTTTATTTGGTGATCATTTCCTCTTTTCTCATGAACTTAATGGATGATTTAGGGATAAAACTTTAAGGAGAAATTAAATGCCAGTCACTCTCAGCAGTAAAAGGCTTTTGGTGAGTAAAAAATGAACCAGAACAAGACTAAGCAGAGTTGAAAGAAATTTGAGCAACACCTCTCTATGAGAAAGTGAGCGTAAAACCTTTACCATCAACTTAACATTGTTGATCTTTGTTACATTTTAACATTGTGTATAGCCTTGCTGCCTACACTAATGACTTCTCAGTTGGTAAGTGAGAGTAAAAACACTTTTCAGGATTTTTTGACAAGTAATTCTCATTTTCCCTGATCAAAGCTATTTAGAATTCCAATTTCCATCATTTGATTAAGTTTAAGGTTTTGCTCATCCACTCTAACCAATAAGAGTTGTTTCTATCAATGATTTCCTTAATAGCATAGACATATTTTTCTTTTGAATATACCACTTTTGAAGGGTTGTGACTTTCAAAAATTAAGCAATTTTGAACAGTTGATAACAGCGTTTATAACTTAACAGTATTAACCTTTAACATAAATGCAATATCTATACAAGGAAGATGCTTTATGACTTATTAATTACGGTATTAAATAATTTTCAGAGCTAATAATGCTAGTAACCTTTTTATATTTACCATAACTAAAATCTGTAATAAATGCAACATGCATGCAAAGAAAATGCTAAATAAAATAATAATATATAATAAATAAAATAATGCTAAACAAATCCAGCGGACATACAAAAACTCTAACCTACAACAAGCATAGACAGACCACTCGACCCAGAAGAACCCAACAAAGAAACATTATCTGGTACAACCCTCCTTTTAGTAACAACGTACAAACAAACATCAGCAAAACATTTCTTAGACTGGTATCGAAGCATTTTCCAAAACATCACAAATACCACAGTTTATTCAACAAGAACAACGTAAAGGTCAGCTATAGTTGTATGGAGAACATGGGATTGATTATCAAAAAACATAACAAAAAAAGTACTATCTAACAACAACAACCATGACAACAATGAAAGCCTTTGCAACTGCAGATCTAAAGAACAGTGCCCACTCAACAACAATTGCCTGTCTTCCAGCATTATCTACAATGCACAAATCACCACTACAGATAACAAAACGACCCCTAGGAACTACATTGGACTGACCAAAGGAACTTTTAAACAAAGATTTAATCAACACAAGATTACATTCCAACACAGAAAATACACTAACAACACTGAACTATCCAAATACATCTAGCAACTGAAGGACAACTCTATAAACTTCAACATAAAATGGTCCATTGTTGCAAGAGCTAGGCCTTACAACAACACGATGAAAAGATGCGACCTTTGCCTGACTGAAAAACTCATGATTATTAAGTTCAACAGCAACAACTTGCTGAATAAAAGATCCGAACTAATATCCAAATGCCGTCACAGAAACAAGTTTTATCTAAAGAACATCTGACGCCTCCCCACTACAATAGACTTTAGTCAATATATTCACACCTACTGCCTCATTGTCTCTCATTAATACATCCACACCCATTGTAATTTTCGCTTTTTCTCACCTATTATATAACAACAACCTATTGTAATCAGCAGCTACCTTTTTTTCTTATATATATAAATTAGCCTACAGGAATGTTTTTCATTAAATCTGTCTGATGAGTGTGTAAGCATGAAACTCAGTGTAACAGGGAATCATGCGTGTTTCACTTTAGTCATTTTGAACTAAGTAAATATTTATCAATTTACTGACAGTTACAAAATTGGCAGTTAGTTACTTTTATATATAGTACTCATATACAAAATCTCAGCATGGCTAGAATTCGCATTTTCTTCAGGAAGATGGTACTCTAGTGAATAGTTTTCACCAGCTTTAGAGCTTTCAGACCTTATTTTTAAAAAGTTCCCCATATGAAACCCATGAAGCATTAGCTCGTCAGAAATTGCACAGGTGGCAGGAGTACTAAGTAGGTTAAGACTTCCTTGAAAGAGAAAGAGGACACCAGCAGCAACGAAATGCCCTACCAAGGCACTGACTATAGGCTGATCTAATTTGAAGGGTGAAAGAAAAACTGCAAATTAATATGAATTTACAGTTATTCATAAACAGGTCACTTTGTCACTAAAATGTGCTCAGGCTAATTTTGAAATAGACATAACATTTTTGTGAATAATTGAGCTGCATATTTATCCAGAACAGGTTCAGAATCTCAGACACTTTGCAACACACTCATAGCACTTTTAGGGAAGTATCCTGAAAGGGAGAGAGATGAGTTTTCCAATTGCTTTTGATTATGTAGATCTCAGGTAAGGTTAAGACACATTTGGCAACTTGACATTCCATAATTCACTTTGAGTGGCATGGAATATTGTTGTGAAGATTTTTGTACCTGAGATGGATACTTTCCCTAAAACAATTTGTTCAAATTCAAACTGGTCACAATTTGTTGAAATAGACTCAAGAAGACTTTAGTCTAGAAACTTGTATCAGGAAATATCTATCATGCTGTTTCTCACAAGAATTTGCCACTGTGACTTTTAGTGAGATACATATATTTTTTTTACCTGGTTGGTGTGGGGTTTGATATTTTTGGGTTTTTATTTTGCTATTGTACACAAGCCCTTATGTTGACTGCTAAGCCAGTCAATAAGAGCAATACCAACCTGGTAAAAGGTATACATCCATCAAGTGCCATATGCCCTGCCATGAAGCCACAACTCCAAACCCCAGTAGGTAAACGAAGCTTTTCTCCACAAATGTCTGCATAGCCCGCAGCAACAAGACATGTGCCATGTATAATTCAGAGGACAACAAGTACTCGCTCATGAAATAGCATGCAATGAATACAGCATACCCCAGGCCTAAAGCAAGGACTGAAGATTTAAATTTCGACCCACATGGCCATGTCACACTAGCCACGATTATCCATGTCCCCCTCCAATACACTATAACACCCGCGCCAATAATAAAGACGGTCACAAAACTATTCCATATCCGTGAGTAACATGCTGTCTTGCTTCTTAAACAATGCTTAACGGTAAGAATTACTTCTGATGGTTCAGTCTGTCTCTCACTGACGCAGTAACCTGGAACAGCGATTATAGATCTCGGCGTGTTCAACATCAAAACAATAAAGAATCCAATTCCATGGCAAACACCGGCGCTTGTAGAAGAATTAGTAGTGTAATAATCCACTATCATCCACAGACCTCTCCATGAAGCGACGCACAAGATCGACAGAAGGTAAATAAGAACGCGAAACAATGCATTTTTCGCTTTCGCACCGTTTAGAAATTTCTTTAAATGATCCTCTATTACTGTTATCATGAAAATCACTCCGAAACTCGCAGTGGCCCCAACTATGGCACTGACAACTGCGTCACCAGGAAAAAGGAAAAGGTCGAACAAATACCATGTTCCTCGCCAGAAGTTTACTACGGCGGGTGTTAGTAGAAATAAGACGAAGACCAAGTTAAGGAACTTTTTCCAACATAAACTAGAGATATATTTGGTTGCCATACTTCTGAGGTAGCAATTAGGTATCCGGTCACTTCGCAAACGTGTCACTTCGCAAACTGTCACTTCGCAAACTGTCACTTCGCAAACGTGTCACTTCGCAAACTGTCAGTTCGCAAACGTCCTCGGTCGATTCGCAAACGTAATATGAATCAACGAAAATCAACAGAAGAGAATCACGTTACTTTTAATCATTATAAATGATGAATTGATTGCGTGACTCGACTGATCGACGATCTACTAAACTATACTCTAGTATTTACAAATATTTACAAATGTGATGGTTTCTGTGTGATTGACGACAACCGTGTAAGCTGGAACGCACGAAGTGAAGACAGGGTATTGAATACATATCCAAGATAGATGTAAAAGAGGAACAAGACACAAATTTACATCTATCTATGCTTCGATCGAAACCGCGTTAGAGTTGTTGAAGAATTAGACGTATTAACTGCTAAACGCTAATAATAATGTACAACTACTTAGTTTTGCACAGCAACAAGAAATGTATTTGATTTGAAGGCAATAACAGTCCCAAACTTTCTTCGATAAAAGATTGTAAAGAAACATAATATGAAGTTATATCAACCTTTTTAAAAATAATTCGAAGACGTTTGCGAATCGACTTGCATGCGTTTGCGAAGTGACAGTTTGCGAAGTGACACGTTTGCGAAGTGACCGGTATTCAGCAATTATAGACAGGTGCGAGATTGTCTCTCTAGGTCCGTCAGGTGGTATCGCAATAAGTACCACCTAAGGCTGCTGATTTCCTGGAAAAACTGGATTAAGGATCATCGGATCACCGGATCAAGGATCAAGGATCAAGGATCAATGCAAAATTAATCAATAAATTAAATAAATTAATGGGTATGATTGGTTGCTCATCTACGTGACTCAGTCAATATCTCCCGTATGCTCAAGCGAAAATAAGATAAAATAAGCGAAATCGGCACAAATATACTAAATACTGAAAAAGCCATACGTATGTGATTGCGTATCTGACTTCCGGTACAATTATTTCAGAACACAAAGCCGTTTTTGGCGACTGCCGGAGTGAACAGCAAAGTTTCAGCTGCTTTAATTTCATCTCTTCAAACTTTTACTGATGTCATATCCTAAAAGGAAAAGCAGATGGAATGCATCTGAAGAATCACTTGCTTAGAGGAAGATGTTTTAGTCTTTTTCCCGACAGGATTAGACAAGAGTAGGCCCTTCCCGATTATGCTAGCATTTTTTTTGGCATTCATGATGTGGTTCAAAGAGCATTTTTTTCACACTTTCTGTAAAAAGAATTGCGAGAATTATTTAGCATTTTGCATAACTTTTATCTAGATTTCAGCACTCAAAAGAGTTTAAATGCTAAATTTTAGAATTCAAAAGCGTTGTGATGATTTGCTTTTGTGTTTAAAAAAAAGATTCCTCTAACTGTATGAACTGAGTGCAGCTGGTCAGCGGTTAACTTTCAGAGGCCGTTCACGCGCATGTACAAACAAGATGGCGTGGCACTGGCCGACGTCACGCCATCTTCTCGATACTTGCAGCTCATAGAAGGAAATTCTGAAGGGGAACATATACCAGTCCCTTCAACGATAGCTCGAGATCGATCTTTAGAATCAACCAGTGGAAATTACAAGCGGAGAGGAAACAGTGATATAACGAAAGTCCCGTTATATGAGCGAGTTAAGCAGTTCCCAGGCGAGAATTTGATTGTCAGAGAAAGAAAGCTGTTTTGCTGTGGATGTAGAGAAATCATTTCCTCCAAGAAAAGTGTTCTGAAAATCCAGTTCGTTTAGTGGACAATAACTGGAACATTATCCAACGGCTTGTGAGAATTGATGTTTGCTCTAAGTCAGTTAATGCCAACGAACTAACACAAGTTCTTAATCAGTGACTGTCTGTTGATTATGGGGTCAGAGCAAATTCCTTGCTCGCAGCCATGAGAGACGGTGCAAGCGTTAACCAAGCAGCACTGGACAGAATAGCATTTATATTCCCTAAGATGCCGAATGTCGTGTGCTTCTCTCATACACTTAATAACGTGGGAAACCATTTAGTGATCCCATCACTGGCAGAGTTCGGAAGCCTTTGGATTAGAATGTTTCGCCATAGTTGTAAAGCCAAGCTGTTATGGAAGCATTTAACAGGTCAAACACCAAGATCATACAGCGAGACTAGATGGTGGCCCAAATGGGAGGTGTATCATCAGTTGATGGTGCAGTTTGGAGATGTCGCAAGGTTCGGAAGAGGCAAAGGACGCAAAAGTTTGCCTACAGTTACTGCCACAACTTCAAGCAATACTTTCTGGCCCACAGCGACCAACGAACTTGAAGCTTGAGCTTGCCGCTATTATTGATGTTGGCGAACATTTTGTGAAAGCCACGTATTTTTTGGAAGGGGATGGTCCTTTGGTTTTTACTTGTTATGAGAAACTAAGCGCTGTTTCCCAATTCTGTCAAGCTCCTTGTTTCCCTAACGTCCGTGCAATTGCAACTGCAATTGCAACTGCAATTGCAGAGGAAGACCCCTGTCAGAACGTAACAGCACTTGAACGGAGTGCGAAGGCTTGTGCTGAGCCGGTAATGACGTGGTTTCTGATAAAGTTCAAAGTCGATCTTTATGATGTAGTGGTAGCATTCAAGGCTGCCAGACTATTCTGCCCCGTTAGGACCCAGCGTCTCAAGCCAAGTGCATTAGTAGAGTCTCTGAGAGCATTTCTTTTCCTGGATAGTGATACTACCATCGACGGTCTCAAAGCCGAGCTTCCTGCCAATTTGGCTGCTGCTGAAGATGTTGTTATCCCGACTGAAGAGAAGAAAGTCGAATGGTGGTGTGGGCACGAGGAGCAACTTCCTCGTTGGGCTTCCGCAGTGAAGCAAGTTATCCTTGTCCAACCATCGTCTGCTACGTCAGAAAGAGTATTTTTAATACTGAAGGCGTTCTTCAACGAGCAACAGAATTGTGCTCTTGTTGACTACCTCCAAGCCAGCGTCATGTCACAGTACAACAAGTGCTAAGAACTTCGAACATTAATTAACTGTTTATCATTGGACAAGTTTTGACTGTATTAGAAGTTTTAGAAAAAAACAATTGAACACTTTTCACTTAATTCAGTTGCTGATACACACATGATGCCTGAGATTCTACGTTTTGCTTGAAATTAAACAAAGCATTTTCTGAAACCAAAGTAGTATTATTTTGAGAATCGAGCATAATTTGAGCATTTTTCTTGGCGTAAAGCGGAATTTCTAGGAGCATAAAATGCCAGTTTTAGTAGCATAATCGGGAAGGCCGAGACAAGAGGCATGATTCAGAAAGTGATAAAATTGCATCGCCCCACTGAGTTATTGTTGTGAGTCCCCTACACGGAAGCAACAAGTCGAAAATCTCAAGAACACACACTGGAGAATCGACTCAGTTCTTAGTCTTACATTATTTTTTTTAAAGAAAGCACCTGACGAATGGCCAGGAAGAATTGTTTTTTCATTTTTTTTGTCACCAGTAAGCACTGCAGGCAGAAAATTTAGTCCCACACCTTTGATCACTTCCGACAAAATAAAGTACCTTGACGTTTGCCGATTCTCTGTTTCTTGATAGCTGCAACAGGGGAACCGCACCAACGGTTAAGCATGGTGCGCAAAAGCAGAACTGCCTTAAAAAAACATAATCACGCATCACAAATGTCCTTCCGTAGAATTTCGTAGTTTTTTTTCTGACGATTCCTTCCAACGTCATTATTATATTGGAACATTAAAAAGAAGGGGTCACCGGACTTTTTTTCCATGCCAAAGCTTTCGTGAGTTTAGCAATTCCCACGCACGTTCTCGTGCATTTAAAAATCCGGATTCTATAAGATCGACAGTTGCTCATGATCTGTTACGGCTACCGCTGACAATTGCGTGTGCTCGTGCGAGCTCCAACTGCATCCAATCACAAACGTTCATAAATGTTTACTACTCAGAAAGTTATTCATAAGCTAGCCTGCAGAGCAGGCGTAATTTTGGCTAGCGAGTGCTAAGTAATTTCATAACAAATACTATGGCCGCCATCTTTGATTTTAATGGCAGCGAAAGACTGGGGAGAGTAAAAATTTATACCAAGGGGGCGGTCGACGGTCAAAAATAAGGAGAGGGATGGGGGGTAGGGGATTGAAGATTTCTCCGTCTTTTCTCCCATTGCCCGCCCCCTACCCCCATCGTCCACTCTAATTGCAAATAAAAAATGGTCGGTTGAACAGACGATTGCGAGATTTAAGCGTTAGCTCGCACTAACAAGACGCCTGCACTGCAGGCTATTCAGAAGCTGTTAAAGACAGCCTTCCGGGCTCATCTTGAAAGATTTACTTCCAGCTTCTGATTATATTAGCCATATTTTTATTGAAAAACAACAAGCGAAAGTTTGAAATGGACTAAATTCCGTGGAAAACACGTGTTGGTTGGCGCTTCGATCGGAATGTTTGTTTAGAGGTCTAATAGGTAAAACGTTATGCCTGAGATTTTTTCGGGCATCTCTCCTTATTCTTCGTTGCTGGTTTCTTCGAAGTGTATAACTATGACGGCCAATATGCTCTTTGTCCGTGTGACTCGTGGTGTCTTCGCCAATGAAGTTGTTGGTGGATTAGTCCTCTTTTACCAAACCTTGTGTACAGTTTGTGAAGGTCATCGTAAGAGAGACCGCTGTCGGCGATGTTTTGTGCCATTGATCTTTTAATTGGTCCGGTGTCGATTACGTTGAACAAGTTGTCACTGAATGTTAGAAGAAGTTCGTGGCGTTGATCTAGGTAGAGCATGTTTGCCACTGCGTGGGGAGCACTGATGACACTGGAATTCTCAACGATGTTTTTCCTGGAGAGGCTTAATGACGATTCAAAAAGAATTTTTCTCAGCCTTCTGACATCTTCTAAAGCATCATGGGCGTCAAATTGTTCCTTGAACAAATGGTTACAAATGATGCTTTGGTTTGGTTTGCAGTATCCACCAGAATCGAGCTCAAGTGCTTTGTGTTTGTATTTAATTAGTTTTTTCATCAGATGTAGACTATCCGCAAAGTAGACACGCATGTCAGTAATGCCATCCTTGAAGTTTTAATCACTATTTCTTAGGAGAATAGGGACATCGAACGTTGCAGAATTATGACCAATTAAAACAGTTATTTGATTTTCATGTCGCTCAGAAGACTTGACTTTAGTTATAAAGGTCAGGAAGTCACAAAGTGCTTCCTCTATGGTTATACTTTCGACAGGAATGTTTCCTTGGCACAATGTTCTTACTCCTTTTATGGTCTTGATGGCCATACCATTGACAAGGTAGGCACTGTAACTTATGTAGCTTTTTGGGAGAATGTAAGTGGAGAATTCATGTTTCCCATTTCCACTTACAGCTGACAGTTGGCACATCTCAGCTAGCTTCCCTGTGCAAGTCGTTTCTATGTCAAAGATAACGAATTGATCTTTCTGTTTTGAATCATATTGTAAGTGTACAATCTTTGGCCTTATAGTGTAGGGTGGTGTTATTCCTTCATATTCTTTTAGCTCTGTTAGTGATATTTCTGCAGGCATTTCAAATACATTTTGTGACACTGTCTGATGATTTGTTGGATCCAAATTTAGACCTTGCGAGGTTTTTTATTTAGATAACTGGTTATGCCTTCTCTTGAATTTCTTTTTTGCTTTTCGTTGTTTGTCATAAAAAAACTTCTTGTCCATTGCTTTAGCATGTCTTTCATAGAGAGAACCAGGCTCAATATTAAGAATCTCTAATGTTTTTCCAATGTAGTTGTATCCAATATTGGTTTGTGCCACCCCTCATGCTACTCAAATATCATTACCTTCACTGCCTCCATAAAAACGAGTTTGGAGTTCTTAGAACCAATGGTACTATTAAGACTTTCATTTCTCTTTGAATTAGCACATGGGGTCAGTTTATTCACTACAATGTCAGTAGAATATTCATCCAGAATGTCACTTAGGCTTTTTTTAGGGAATCTCCAAAAAGATCTTTGCCATTTGGTAAGTCTGTATGTTTGTAGGCAACAGGATTTTGCTTGAAATCACACCATGAAACATTACAACAAGTATGCTCCCCAAAGGCATGGGGAATTATTTTTTTGAGATCTTGCTTTAAAGATTCAGGATCTCCCACATTTGGCTGACACAAAAACTGAAGCACTTGGTGATGTAATTTATAACCTTTGGACTGAGAATTGAGCAATTTGATCCTTTGAAGCGGTCTCTAAGATTGTATAGTCTAGTATTAAGGGATCTCTTGGCATGAACAACATCGGACTATTTCTCAACACCATAAAGGACTTTGTTCTTTATGTCTGCAAGGGTTGTTGAGTCATCATCCCCTACATAAATTGAAAATTTGACTCCAGATTGAGGAGCTTTTCTCCACAGTTCACAGGCAACATCCCTTTCCATTGATTTTGATGATCCATTGTGTTTTTTTGGACAATCATGCCTTTTTTTCTTTTCCAGTTAATTTGTTATAGCTACATACTCTACACATCTTGCATTTTGTGGAGTAAGTTATAACTTTTCCAGTAGCAAGACCCATGGCAGCCCCCTGACCAGTTGCAGAGTTGTGTCCCCTTCCCCTTTTTTGCCAACCCATATTATAAGAGACAGCTACCCCAGGGAGACAGTCTGCAGATAGACCAGAAGATTTCTCAGCAATTTTTTTTTTTTAATCTAAATTAAATTTACAGCTATCTGTAGCAACCTTCTCTAGTGCATTTCCAACTTCTCTTTCTCTTCTTTTAAACAGGTTATGATTCATTGTTAGTACATTCATTGTAGAGAGTAAATTATTTAGGTGGGTATTCCCCATGCCAGCATGTAGGGATCCCAATACTGCCCTTGTGTTGATATTGCTAACAAGAGGACCACAGCTTCCAGCTCTGTGTTCAGCAGAGGATTTTACTTCATTTAGGTGACCACAGAAGCTGTATTTAATGCTGAAGATACTACTGAGACCGCTTTGTTTTTCTTCCATAATGTTTACAAGGGATAATGAACCTGTGGGTGCAATAAATGGCCTAGTGATTAAAGTCATTTATTTATGCATAGAAGCAAATCGTTAGAGGAAAGCAAACACATTTTTTTTTTAAGAAAGTGGAAGTTCAAGATGGTAGGAAGTAAGATATTGTACTCTGAAATTGACCAGCAAGGGAAGTCATATTTGAGCCTGTCTTAATGCCTGTATTCAATAGCTGAAAAAGTTTCCTGCACTGTGTTAAACAATACTTATAATATTTTAAAATGTTTTATTTTACCTACAAATTATTTTACCCACCTTATGGTTGGGAACTTATTGTCACTTACACAACAATACCAGAGCCAAACATTTTGATATATTCATATGAGATTATAAAAAGATATATTATTTTTACCGACTTATTTTGTTTTGTGTGTGTTTTTTTTTCTTTTTGAGAAAAATATTTCCTAAGACTCCTACAGGAACTTACCTCTTTTGCAGCTTGAGCAAGATTTCAACTCGTTTCGAAGAACTGAAAGTTCAATCAGTCTTGTACCACAAATATCAACCTCATATTTAGTGTGCTGTAATGATAAAATTTTTGCTTGTCTATTTGATTATGAAGAATCAAAAGAAGAAAAGGAAGGAAGAAAACGTAACAAAACTCAGTCGAACCAGCCGAAACGCAACAGCGATGTAACACACATAAATTACCTGGTGTGACCTTGTTTTTATTTTCCTTGGAGATTCGCAGTCTTTTTCTTCTTCAGGCAGATTTTCTTTCACTTGAGTTCTCTCTTTTTTTGCTGTCGCGAGATTTCGTATCGATTGGATTTTTCGTTTCGATGCGAAGCAACCCTTATGTCGCCGAGAATCGCCTTTTTTATTTTTTGTTTCTGTCTCCTGCATGCACAGTGGCTGTTGAATACATCAAATACACGCTGGTGGGCAAACTTGTTACAAAATAAGACAAAAGTTTCGTAGACCGAAAAAAAGCCTTGCGCCGCCATACTTGTTTTGAATTTTTCGCCTATTAAATCTCGCGCTTCCTTCGCGCGTTTCTCTCGCGCGTGACGCATGAGAGTGACCAACTCCCCCGCGAGGAAACTGGTGCCAGCCACCTGAAGTCATTTAATCAATGGCAATTAACTTAAAAAGCATTTGCTACGGTGAATTACAGAATTGTTCATTTTCTGTCCTTTTCATCAAATCTAAGCCAAGAGTAGTAATAAAGTGATTACGTAGGTTTGCTCGGTTTTCCACTCCTAAATACTTTCCATATGAAACATAATGATTTGATCGTGAGACAACGATTACATTTCATTTAGAATGTGCATTTACCACGATGACAAACCATGACCGTTTTTACGATAGTAACCTCGATAGATTTCGAAATATCTGGCTTCCGCCTTTCTACCAACACAACGGAAAATGGCTGCAGGAGTTCAAAATAATCTCTTCCTTGCGTCTTCTTTAGTTGAAGTTTAGGGAAAATATGGTGAGCTTCGGTAGTCGAGACGGCTAAGCGTAGAAAAACGACTTTTCATATCACCCTACGTTTGTCTTTATTTTTTAAACAGCTTTATTGGGCATGACCCACGTTATACTAATACAAAATAAAATATATGATAGAAATCGTAAATACAAGATACATCAAGAACAATTATTGAGAGAGCGGGCGGGAGCAGTAAAAAGTCGTAGAACAAATAGGGCTGGTACGAACGGGACACAAGGACCCATGCGAGCCACCGCCCGTAAGGTAAAAAAGAGAAAGAAAACAGAATTATAACACATGGTAATTATTATTTAAGAGAAAAGAAACTACAAACTACTGGTAACGGGTAGGATCGCACAATTTTCTAAGTACAGAAATAATTTACGTAAAAGTACATTGAAGCGGGTGCTGTTATGTCGAGTCCACTCATTCTTGTTGGTTAAGGTGGTAGACGGTGTCAAATGCCTTCGCAAAATCCAAATAAAACACGTCCATCTGGATGTTTTTGTCAAGGTTTTGTCTCATAGTATGTAGTACAGATAATAACTGAGTGTTGTAAAGGGGAGATTGAGTCATCAGTGAACTCAAAAAACGATTAAACGCGCACTGTTCCAAGACTTTGCAAACAATCTGGAGAAGCGATATGGGTCGGTAGTTTTTAGCAAGCTTTTTTTTAGTCTTTCTTGTGAATAGTTGCCATGTCTGCGGATTTCTACGTGGAGGAATTTGACCACCGCTAAGTGACTGGTTAAAAATCTCGAAAAGGCTTGAGGCGATTTGTTCGCTACATTCTTTCAAAAGGCGCGCCGGAATGCCGTAAGGCCCACAAGCTTTTGAGGTGTCACACCCATTCATTCATTCAAGTGCTCTCTCACATCATCAACCGACACATATATTTGAGAAATTTCCATATCTGATCTAAGTGATTTGTTCTTTGGGGCTATGTTTACGTCCAGAGTAACAGGGAGAAAAACAGAGCATAAGTATTTATTAAAGAGTTTCGCTTTCTGCGCCGGTTTTTTAGCCACTTCATCGTCATAAGAAATCGCTGGGTTAGTGTCCGAGCGCCCGCTCAAGAACGCTTTTTGATGATTCCAGAACTTCCTTGGATTTTCTTTGAGAGACTCTTCAATTTTAGCTGATAATGCCGTTGTTTCGACCTCATTGGATACTGGATGTCTTTGACTTCGTTTACGGGGCTTCAGCCTCCGTTCCGGGGATTTGCTCAACTAGCAACTCACTAGCTCAAAGCTAGTGAAGAGATAGCCAGGAAACCAATTTAGCTAAAAATGTTCAGATAAAATTACCACAACAGTTACTGTAAAATTATACAGTCGAAGTTAGTAAATAAATAGCCAGGAAAACATCATGGGTTAGATACCCAACATCAAGCAAACCTATCATAAATATACAAATAGTGACATAAATTTTTAATTTAAGAGAAGAGACACGATTTTCATGAAACTGTCCATAAATTTTCTACATAATTAATTAAATATAACATGATTATTTACGTGTATTAATTATTTCACAAAGCTCCACAAATTTTAAAAATTGTTATCTTGGTAAACTTGTCTCCCATATTTTTGGCACTTGCCTGTCAATTTTGGCATGAAAGTTTGGCAAGTCGTATGCCTTTCCAACAGCATCCAAAATTGCACGGGTCCTTTCCAGTGACCCAACCAATTTGTTGTTCTCCTGCCTCAGTTAGACAAAACACCCCAATACCATACTGAGAACCAAATGCTAAGGTCCTTCGTAAAATTACTTCCTTTCCAGTCTCTCCAATTACTTTTCTGGCTGCAGAAAACTTCGATGTTCCAGTTATAGGGAATCTAATCTTTTTCGAAGATCTTTCTCTATACTCTTGATCGGATCAGCAGGACCTTCCAAGCATTCACTTGTTTCTACCCCGCAGTGTTTCACCTAAAAAAATTAGATAAGTCTTTTTTGGTCTGGTGGTAGAATAACAGGTTTAATGGCATTCATTGTTACCTTGCAACTGTCCAGAAACTAACGAGTCACAAGGAAATTCTACAAACTGTTAACAAATTCTCTAGTGTCTGCCATTTTGATTCTCCCAGTAATCTTTGCGCCGCTAACTAGTTTCCATGCTTCGAAGTGAGGAGCGGCGCACTTATAGGGTTTCTCTTCCTTCAACCCGTACCTCTCTCGCCAAGTACGTCCATATTATCTGCTATTACCGAAAAATCTGCTTTACTTTACCTCGAATTGTGTCACTGGTAGGATTTCCTTTCCGCAATACAAGCAAGTAACCAGTCAATGGACACAAGACGGACTTTCTCTGTGGCTGTGTGGAATGGAAAGAATGCAGGCCGGAATGATAATTTACTCCACGAGGAAAAAGCACGTGCGTGCGTGGGTTTTCATTGAAGTGGTCGCTCGCATTTACTTCAAATCTCTGAACTTTTTCAGGCTTTTTGGTCATGAAATAAAATTCCAGGCCATCGAGGAAATTGGATGACTTGGACGCCTTCATTAGCAGATACCAAACCAACCAACGCGTTATAGTCAGCGCTGCAATTTAACAGATGATTTAAGCGATCTATTGTCCCAGGTCAATTGTAGCTCAAACTGTTAATAAATTGATAAACAGCATTGAAATGCGAGAACCATCTAACTTTTTCCATCATGATCATGGATCATGTATGTAGATCATTAAATTACGAAGATGAAATGTACAAAAAGACTATCAAAGTGTCAAGATAGAGGAATATTTTCACCTTTAGAAGGTTTGTCAAGCTACAAAGTTCAAATGTTTTCAGTTGGTCGAATATGATGGTGGAAGTAGCTAATACAGATTAATGAGTTTATGCTAGAGAAATGGCCCACTTTTGTCACTCTTGTATGTTGATCATCAAATGACGAAGATGAAATGTACAAAAAGACTATCAAAGTCTCAAGATAGAGGAATATTTACACCTTTAGAAGGTTCGTCGAGCTACAAAGTTCAAATGTTTTCAGTTAGCCGAATATGATGGTGGAAGTAGCTAGTACAGATTAATGGGTTTATGCCAGAGAAATGGCCCACTTTTGTCACTCTTTTACTCCGAGTAAGTCAAGTGGCTAAACTTTAGCTTCAGTTAGGTTCAATTGAATTTTGATAATATTATTTTTGTTGCTCAATGTAGAAGTGAGTGGCAAGAATTGAGCCTTTCTCGAGAATGCCTTTCTTTTTTGTTTTTTCTTGATGATTCAGAACTGTAGGTTTGATTTGATTCAACATTTATTGTTTCCTGATGATAATACACAGTGTCAACCTTTTGATCAACTGTTTCATCATGGCATACAAGAGAGAAATTTAGTTGAAACAGATAGCTGCTTGATTCAGAAAATGGAAGATTGTCATATTTTCTACAACAGCATTGTCTGCATGTTGGAATTCCCCATGCCAGCACAGAGGCTAGTCAGGTGTATGACTATCTTCACAAGGGGTTTCCATGTATATGGAAGCCATTGCCATCCTCATAATGATTCATCGAATGTTATCATCCGTTTCAGGGTTGACCTTGATTTTGCTTCGGGTTGCTTCATGCTAAGGATAAACCCCGGTTTTATAGGAAACCTGACTCAAGTACAGATTTTACTTTATCTTGCCACAATTCAGGAAATGGTAAAAAAAAGGGTTCTTCAAGGTCAGGGAAAGGTCAGGAAACTTCACTCAAAGTCGAGGAAAATTTCTGTTTTTCAGAGAAGTTAGGGAAAATAGAATTTTTGTCACCAATTCTAGAAAGGAACCATCACTGTTTCTAAGTACACGCGAAGATGAGTCTCTATTCACTAATTTCCAATAGAATTGTTGGTAGACACGGCGAGTAATATCGAATAAACAGCGAACATCTCCGACTTCCGAAATGGTCATGTTGTGACGTCACGTGATTATCAAATCTTATCAAATAAGTATCTCAGACTGGTATTGGACCTCTTAAAAGAATATATCTCTCAGATTTCTTCGACAAGGTAGGTGTGTTTTCCAGAGCACGATCGGTGAAACTTTGGGACGCATAAGATACCCAGCAGTGTGGAAAGACTAAAAGGGAACAGAGACCACTTGTTGCGGCCATCCTGGTATGTACATCAAAGCCATTTAATAAAGTTCCACCAGGGGCCTTTATTGTTTTTAGAGTCTTAAGACATCGATCGGTCCACCCCTTAGCTCAGCATCCGAAGGCAGAGTAAAATCCTTCATGAAAGTTTCTGGGAATATCAAGCAAAAAAAAAAAGGACCGCGCTTCGCGTTGTAGCAAACCCTAATCATTTTTACGATATTCACCTCAATACTTACGAGATGTTCCTCGTATTCGCTTTTTTACGAGCGCCACAGAAAGTGGCTGCAAAGTTCTTCATAATTACTTTGTAAAGTAATCAGTAGTTGACGTTTGGGGAGACAACTGAAAGCTGCCGCAATCACAACGACTAAGCGAAGAAAAACGACTTTTTCCAAACAACTTACGTTTGTCTTTAGAAGTTCCTCGAAGGACTTTTTGTGTTTTCAGAGTCTCAAAGCATCGATCGGTCCTCTTCTCAGCTCATCTTGCGAAAGCTGAGAAGAGGCGCTTCGCGTTATTTTTTTGTAAAGAAAGGTTGAGAAATGCGCAGAGTATCAAAACGGGCGTATACAATTACCTTCATATTCATTAGATCCATTTTAGGCCACGTTTTCGTTTCCACCTTTGTTGCTGTTTGCAAGAGGTTCCTATCGAAGGTTGCCTGTGGTATTGTCGCACGATTTATCACTATGAGGTGACGATGTATTTCCCACCTCAACTGAACCAAAATAATCAAAATGCAATTTGGAACAAGCTATTTTACCTCGTATTTGGTTGGCAAGTCTGCTTTTGATGCAATTCAATATAAGTTGGATTTCAAAAGATAAGTTGAATTAGTGTTATGAGTATTTTCTTAGACTTTGACTCTTTAAAACTATTATTTCCTCGCTTGAATGGAATTGTAAAGAAATATGGCTCACTATCGGACACCTTTTGTCTAAATGAGTCATGTTGTGCAGATTTTTTCTATTTACATAATCCACATTAATGTCCCAGTTTATGAAGGTGCTCTGTTCGCTGTACACTGATGCACTAAGGTTACGTAGCTTAATAGAAATACCTTGTCATACAGCCACACTACTGCGCCCAAACCACGAGTTGAAATATTTTGAAAAGTCTTGTTTTAAGTACGTCTTTAATAATGCTGCCTGATACAGGCAATAAACCGCAGAATGGCACTCGGAATGAAACGTCTCGTTGTAAGCAAGTCTTAATATGCCTAATGACACAATGACTTTGAAAACAAGCTAGCGCATTGTGACGATGCATCATATTTCCATAACTATGTAAAGCGTACCTTTTTAAAATACAGAGATTTCGTCAACCTCGCAACACCGTGTATTTATGACATGTTGATCTAAAGAGGGTTACACGACAAGAGATGCTGCAATTTAGTAGTAAGGTTCCTAAACTTTGCCCTTTACGAAAGAATGTCTTCATTCAACTATTTGCATCAACTACTTGGTGTAACCTTCTTTAGATCGACCTGCCATAAACATCAGGAGCGATTTCATCTTTGGTAATGGAGACCACTTGTTTATCCACCAATTGTGTTCTTTTATTGAAAAAACAGAGAATTGTGGCAAAACTTTCGAATGCAGGGCCGCCTATGTATGTACATTTAGATGAATCATATCACTGACTCTGGTGTCATTCCTCGTTCTCAAAGAGTGAAGATAAAATGGATCTCGGTGGCCATTTACTCAATTTAGTATACTTTCAATTTAGTTTACTCAATTTAGCAGTTTATCCGAGATTTTTATGCACTTATAACTAGCTCAAGCTGAATCACGCTCTAATACCGCTGTTTAGGTGCTATTGGTCCTAACTCAGCTACAGCGAAACAGCACCAATATACCGATGTCAAGATTTAGTCTCTTGTGATTTTCAGAGCCTCCCTTTTAGGGGGGAAAGATATATACTGTATACGAAAAGGTAAGGGAACTAAAAACCAACTTAATTGCTATGATTCAACTTAAAAACAACACCAGAAGCAAGACGAATACTCGACTGAAACGAGGTAAGATTAGACAAAGAGTCTGTAATTTTCGGTGAAAGCTAAGCCTTTAGTCGATCGAACAATGACGTTTACTTCTTCTAATTTCTCATCTACCCATGCACAAAATCTTAGTTCTCTAGCAGAGACTAATTCTATGCAAGGAAAAACAAACTCGAAAAGATGCCACAAGCCCGAACACGCACACATATGTGTGTTGATGCAAGCTTACGCATCCTGGGTTACGCTTTCCTTGGCCGTAATTAACATTGCAACATCTTCCAAACTTATTTGCAGTCCGACACCAAGTAAGAAACATGCACTTCAACAAATAACGATTGTTTCAAACGTAAATAAGCCCTTGTTGAAAGCAAGCTCATTGAAGAAGCTCAGGAGGCAATGATTCACAACACCACTCTTCTTCTCCCAAATCCTGAAATAGATCAATACAAATCACTTGAGGGGTTAGTTAACCTAATACGCATTTTTTTGTGATGTATTGCGCGCAAACTTCTTTATTGCTTCTATAACGTTTTGAGCTTACTGTGATCACTTCACGAGAATCAGTCATTACAGCCAAGAAGTGTTGTATCCGGACTAACATGACCTGAAATGCGTCGGTGTGGTAGTCTCTGACTAAAGGTGCTATCTCTCCTAATTGTTCCGATGTCTGCACTCAGATTGAACTCATGTATACTGACAAAGAGCAATCTCAAAGATACCAAGTGTAATCAACATTGAAGTCAGAGTTAAGGACTCTTTCGCTTTTCACCAAAGCGACTGATCAACGGAGATTAAACTCTAACTTACAACAGGACACGAATATATCGTGATCAGCTTCTCTAAAATAAGGAGTGGTTGAATCCCGCACATTTCTCGCTTTTAATACAGTCCTAATCCTTATACAAATTCTCGTATCTTTACCGTTTTATAAAAGTGACTAACAACATTCAGATCGAACAGCGCAGAAATCGTGCGATAAATTTAATTAAAAATACGCCCAAATGTAACTCCGATGCAATGACTACTGATTGTGAACTTCTATCAAGATGAGGGCATGATTCTGTGTTATTCGTGTGCTGCAAGTACTTAATGCACTCAGTCGATGGCCGGTTTAAGAGAAAAGGTCTTTATAGCCAGGTGGTAAATTCTAACCCAGTAGTAGAACCATGATAATTACTTCTTTTAACTTTACTTTCTCTACCTCTACTCATGCTAGAGGTCAAGTTTATAACACTTTTCCGCGATTGATCCTCACTCATAGGTTTCTGATGTATGTCTTTTCAAGAGAAAACAGACTCGAAAACTAACTATTTTCTCTAACGCGTACAGATGCGTTCTGATTAAATCTTGCGCATCCTGGATCACGCTTTCCTTGGCCATAATTAATATTGATTACAACATCACCCAAACGGATTTGCGTTCAGACACTAA